AAATTCCGAGTATTTAGATCGTTGGTTGTCAGACCAGTTGTCTAAGACTCGTGCAAAAACCTAATAAGTGTGATCCTTTTTTTGCTTCATTTTTTTTATAAGAAAAATACTTTTGGGTTGAGACACTACTCGTTGAGCTTTATTGCTCCTCTAGTTTCTAGTAATTGAATCGTAGGATGTTAGTCATATTGTTCGGTACTTAATACCCCGCATAAAAACAACTTCAACTCATCAAACTTGTTTTTTCGCCCTTGTGAGACATCAAAAACCTTTTCATAAAAGGAATGTGTTTTAGCCATTTCAATAGTAAAACAAACACAAAGACTTAGTTTCCCTGAACGAGCAAAACAAGTCGAAGTTCAAACATTTGAAATGTCTAACGCATCATTATTCTAAAATCAACCAATAGACCCTTAGTCTTTTTAAAATAACCACAGAGTTCTGACCTTTCAATTGCACGAGGGAGTGCGTAGGCATAAGATGCGAATCTTGTCGAACTCAACAAACTAAAACACAAAAACCTATTTCTTTCTCCTTTCTCAATTAATAAGTAGAAGATTGTAAATTTTCACACTACAACTCGAACACACTCACACGGACCAAATGGTTCCTTTTGAATACGATGGATGTGAGGGGTGTTAATACCTCTCCCTTACATAACAAACTCTCGTACCCTCTCTTTGGTATCGGAGACCATCTTATCCTTTGTTTGTGGGTTTCCCTTTCCTTCTTGAAATAAAAAAATCTCGGTGGGGACTTCATTGTTTTATATTTTCCATTTCCCTTTCCTTTTTTTTGGTTTATATCATGAAAATACAAAAAAACTTGTGTTTTGATAATTAATTAGATTAATCAATTTTATTTAATAATATTAATTAATTTAATAATTTTTTTATTAAATAAAATTATTTTAATTTAAATAATTATTTATTTAGTTCTATTGGTATGTATTGTTTGATTTTAGTCGGGCTTTCGTGTGTGGTTGTTTTGGTTTGGTTCCATCCCCATGTAATGTAATAATCATTTAATTGTGCTTTATTTATTTACCTTGATCATTCATCATCATTATGCATCAAACCTTCCAAAGAACTAATTCTCGAATGCGAACCAATTTTCCACCATATGTCTTTCTAAGCATCACAAACGGTCTTACATGGCTTCCTCTTGAACCCCTCCACACCGAAACACGTGCACACTTGCACACATTCATAGCTTAATTCTGGGCCCTCCTACAGTGAGACCTATGTGATTAATTGTTCTAATTATTCATCTAGAAGACTAGCCCACTTTGCTAGTGCACTTAGAGATTAGAATTCATCCGTTTTGCTTTATCCTTTTCATTTGTGTGGGCAACCTTGTATGGGCTTGTGTGCTTTACATGTCTATCATCATTAAACAAGCGTATCCCCCCCATTTTGGGCGTGTAATAGCTTAATAGTTTTAATTTGTTTTTATTCGCTTATTCACTATTGTACGTGTAATTGAATCAAACGAACCCCTGCACTCTTGGTCTACATACGAAGCTCATAACCAATTTCATAAGTTGAGTATATTTCGGCAATCGCAATCAACCACCCAATGCATGCTTGGTTCATATACCAAGCCTCTAACCAATTTGATAAGTCGAGTTTGCTTTTGCAATCGCAATCAACCACCCCATGCATGCTTGGTCCATTTACCAAGCGCCCAACCAATTTTATAAGTCGAGTTTGCTTTTGCAATCACAATCGAATTTCTCTCATTCTCTATCTAAAAAATTTTCATAATAAAGTTTCAAACCTCGATCTAACGTCGACTTGTATTTTCAAAAACATTTTCATAATAAATTTCGAGTATTTAGATCGTTGGTTGTCAGACCAATTGTCTAAGACTCGTGCAAAAAACCTAATAAGCATGATCCTTTTTTCGTTTCATTTTTTTATAAGAAAAATACTTTTGGGTTGAGAGACTACTCGTTGAGCTTCATTTCCCCTCTAGTTTCTAGTAATTGAATCGTAGGATGTTAGTCATATTGTTCAGTACTTAATACCCCACATAAAAATAAATTCAACTCATCAAACTTGCTCTTTAGCCCTTGTGCGACATCAAAAACCTTTTCATAAAAGGAATGTGTTTTAACCATTTCAATAGGAAAACGAACACAAAGACTTAGTTTCACTGAACGAGCAAAACAAGTCGAAGTTCAAACGTTTGAAATGTCTAACACATCATTATACTAAAATCAACCAATAGACCATTGGTCTTTTTTAGAAGAATTATGGAGTTCTGTCTTTTCCACCTTTCACATAAAGCAAATCTTCGATTTTTCCTTTCCAAACATTATAATTAGATCAATTCAAACTCACCATCTTATATGTGTTCGTCTTCATCGTTACACAAACCAAATCACGACTCTGATACCACTTGTTGGGAGAAAATCACAAACACAACGAAATAAACCAACAAAAAAATCTCTCCCAAATATCAAATACAACAACAATCAACAAAAACGCATTAAGCAACACAACACAATTTTAGCGTGGAAAAACATCCATTAATTAGGAGTAAAAAACCACGGGACCCATAGGCCATTTAAATCATCCACTATTATCAACAATGGGTACAAACAAAGTTCTCTCTAACACTAGTTTGAGGTATACATAAACATCATCAAGATTTGCAATCAATCTTGAAATACAACAAGAATCAAGAGAGACAAAACAACCCAAAAATACCAAGAAATTATGACCTCTAAGATGGACTCGACAGACCGACTTAGAAAGCTCCAAAGCCAATCAAAATCATTCAAAATATGCTCCTATGAGTCATGAACATTATGTCAAGACTTCAGAACGATCCGACTGTTGAATTTTGCACAAGCTCCGATTTAGTGGAACTGCTCTATGCTGAAATGGGGTTGCGGGATTTCACTCTTCTATCTACTTTTTATGTTGTTTCTCACACACATTGGATGAATAACCTAGTTCTCTTTGTTGGATAATAACAAAGGCTAAACACACATGAGTCACTAACCCACATCTATTTAGGCCTCTCCAAATAGGAGAGATAGGCCAACAAAAATTATTGCTATTTTTCCAATTGTGTTCTTTAATTATTACACTTTACACTACTTCCAATATATTTTTAAGGTTAATTTAGTAAAAGTACAATATCTTATGACAACATTATTACATTCTTTAATTTGTGTGCAAAAATCTTAAATGACATTCATTTTAAAACGCAGGGAGTAATTAAATACGAGTCTTTTGTGGATGTATGCAATTATTTAAGAACACTTAAATACTAATTTTGTTATAATCTTCAACATGATATTTATAATTTATGATAAAAAAATTTACTCCTTGTGAATATTTTAAAATACGCATGTAAATCAATGTATGGTATAATTGCTTAGTTCTTTATGAATTGAACAACAATTTTGTTTGAAGTTCTTTACGAACTCAAACAATTTTTATTTTAGTTCTTTGAAAATTCAATCACAAACTTTTTTATGAAATTTTTTAGAAACTCAATCATAAATTATTTTATTTAATTTTTCAAAAACTTAATCACAAATTTTTTTATTAATAAAAATAATAATATTTATAATTCTATTTAGAAACTATAAATGTTTTATATGTTCTTTATAAACTATATAAATTTTTTATTATTTTACTATATTTCATGGATGTTTTATATGTTCAATATTTTTTATATGTTTTTTTAGGAATTATGTAAAAAAATTCAATATTTTTTCGATCCTTCGAAAATACTTCATTTGTTCTTCAAAAATAATATAAACTTATTATTTCTCTATTCTTCATTGATAGTTGATATATTTTTCGAAAACTATATAAACTTATTATTTCTCTATTCTTCATTGATAGTTGATAAATTTTTCGAAAACTATATAATAAACTATTATTTTGTTATGCTACAGGGATGTTGGATAATAAGTGTATTGTTTTAACCATTCTTTGTGAGTGTGTTGTTTCGGCCATTTTTTTTATTTTAAAGAAAAAATATTTTTTTGAGTGAAAATATATATTTAAAAAGCAATTATGGAGTTATATTTTCTAACTAAACAATTAATGAAAAAAATAATAACTATTTTAAAGAAATAATCATTTTTAAAAGAATAGTTACAACTCAAAAAAAAAATTGTCTCAAACATTATAATTATAGAATAAACAGATCTGAATCCTCTCCTCTCATTTCTCTCATGCTCATGGTTCTGTCATAATTCATACCATTAATGGTAGCACTAATGGCAGAATGCATTCCGAGATCTGTGTTCAAAAAAACTATTTAAATGAAAGAAAACATTAATGTATTAAAATAATCATATCATCATGGACACTTTGTCTTGAAAATATTTTACATTGAAAATAATGAACTTTACCATTTTTTTTAGTATTTGTAATATAGTTTTATAATCCTTCATCGAATTTATAATAATTTTAGATACAAAATATTAAAAATATATATTTTTAACTTATTTCAAACAAAAATTTCCTGTAAACAATGGTGTTAAAGTAATTTGAGAGATTAGATTATACTATCAATCTTTACAATTAAAAGGATTAAAATGGTGATTAGTACTGGAAAAATATGCCATCCAAAAAATGTAGAATATGTAGAGCCTATTTTACCCTAGCAATCATACAACTAAATCCGCACCATCTACAATTCATATAGCATTTTTACCAAATACAAATGGCGTTATTAAACGATCAATAAAAGTAGAGTTTCCCAGAAAAATTAAAGAGTTTATATAACACTGCTTTGGACATAATGATCCAACCATGTGTAACACTCACTAGGCTAAGAGCATAAACTTGCTATTCATCCAATCTAATACTGATTCAATAGTTTTCTTCTTTCAGCCCCTGTAATTTTTTGAGAAAATAGTAATCTCAAGAATATTAACTTTAGATATATAGGAAAATGCTTTTTTGAAATGGATAGTTATCCTTACTACACATAATTAAAACTATCTCAAATGATTTTATTCAAACATCTCACCTAGCATTTAAATCAAATTCACCAACTTCACGCCAGCCATCGGGCGTGCCAGTGTCACCATTCTCAGCTTCGTCATTCAAGAAATCCTCAGACGGCTCCTTCTCATCTCTCTGTGCATTGCTTCCCCATCCATTCATCATCTCACTATGATCCTGATCTCCTAGGTCATGGCCACCAATCACAATGTCACTGCCTTGGGAACCAAGTGCACTCCCTCTTATGGGGGCTCGAGACATCATTTCAGCATGAGATTGTGAATCAGCCCTTGCCTGCTGCTCTGCTTGATACATTGCAGCCATTCGTAGTTTAGCCTCGTGGGCTTCACGACCAGCTTTCTCCCTGGATTCTAATTCAGCTCTTAATTCGATCAGAGCCCGTTTTTCCTCTTGAAGAAGTGCCTGTTCAATCATCAGTCTCTCCTCGGATCGAAATTCCCCCAAAGTTCTCTTCTGCGATATTATGTTGAAGGCAAGTGTTTGCTTCTCAAAAGTTGCAGTAAATTCAGCAATTTTAGCAGCAATATTATTATCCCACTGTTGGGACCTGGAAAGCATCTGGCCAGTTGTATCGGAATCCAGTATCCTATCATCCTCTTCTGCTTCATAATCTGCCACAACATGGTAAGGCAATAATCTGCAAATGGAAAATTTAGGGAAATAAATATAAGAGCAAAAACTTCATTTGCATTAGAATCAAAACAAAGCAATTTTTTAGTTGTAAAAACACCTACATTTGCAGTATATTGATAAACCAGTAGAATTCCAGATCGATTTATAATATATTATGATAAATAAATCAAGTATTAATCCTGCTTCCATTGAGTGAAAGAAATCAACACATAGCAATTGCCATATGGTAGAGTAAGAATTAGATTTGATAGAACCTGATGTTATAGGCTTTGCAAAACTACATCTAAGAAACAAATATGCATCAAGTAAAATTATGAGTAGGACAATGGAACAAGATAATTTCATGTTATTAGAAACAGGGTCGATGACAAGGAAAGTGAAATTTGAACACTAGATAACATGTTCTGAACAATTCTAAGAAGAGAGAAAATAACATAGCACTGGTTCAACTTCAAATGCAGAAATCAAAGGCTGAAAATTGAATATATAATACGGAAAGGAGAACTTGAAATGGGGAAACGAAGATGAAAGAGTTGTGCAAAGCAGATGAGTAGCAAATACAAATAAAAAGCAGGTTGCAGTGAGAGAAACTGCAAGTGAAGAGATAGACTTGGTATTCGGTCCACAAAACAGATACTGAATAATATTTAGATGCATAGAACTGATTAGGAATTGGGATATATAAGCATATAACAAAAACACCAACTAAAGGTGCATTTGAAATAACTTATTAAAGACTTATTTGAACTTATCTTATGACATAAGCACTTGTGTAAGAGTTTCAGATAGCATATGACATGTTCATAAGTTGTGTTCAACTTATTTCAATAAGCTACTCATGATATGAAAAAAAAGAAAGCATATACAAGCTGCATGAAAAAACAGTTTAACGACATTTCGTCTTTGACTATAGAGATAATTTATTCTTAAGAGCTTGTATTATAAAATGAAAAATACTGGTCCAATAAACACTTGAAGTTGTTTTCCCAAATGCACCCTAGCCTCTGCCTAAAGTAAATTATCAACAACACTAGAAGTTTCTTTCTGATCTATGTTGCTAACTATGTTGTTAAATGCGGGCGAGAAGGTGGCCACCCCTAAAGGTGTTTTTCTATACGAAATTATCAATTTTAAGGACTTGTTCTTTTCTAGTCTTCCCGCATACGTAGCGTTGCAAATCGTGTGAGCTGGTCTGCGCAGCTAATGCGGCCACCGTGACTGCCACTCGTTTTTGGTATAGAACAACACGTCAGGGTGAAAAATACAAGTGAAAGGATTTAGTTGAAGAATAGAGAAGAGAGAAAGAACCTGTCGCAGGCATCTTCGAGAGAAGAAAAGGGTCGCTTGAAATCGGGATGGCAGACCCGCCAAGCGTCTTGGTAAGCCATCTGGAGCTCCATGTGATTACCGGGGGGTCGAATAATCTTTTGGTGCTGCTGCTGCTGCGAATTAGGGTTGGGTAAATTGAGAATGGGATTAGGGTTAGGGTTAGGGTTAGGGTTTTGTTGAAGATTGAGGGGTCTTATGGGACGCAAGTGAGCGTCAATGTTGGAAGGGAAGCGAGAAATTGCGGATGCTTGCTGTTGTTGCTGTTGCTTTTGCAATTGCTGTAAGAGCAGAAAATGTTGTCGTTGTTGTTCTTGGATCAACTGCTGCTGCTGCATTGCCTTTGCTTCTTCCATCCCTTTTTCGAATCAACAAATTCTTAATCTAAATCCGCTCTTTCACTATTCTCAATTTCTCATCTCCATCATCCCTAATGCAATCTCTCTGTTTTCTTACTCTCAGGGTTTGCAAAGTCAAATTTAAATATTCCAAACCAATTTACATAATAAATTACACAATCCTATCAAATCTATTTAATTGCTATGCACTAGTTTATCAATTTCAATTATATTTCACTTTTCATAATTCTTATCCACGTGTAATAATCAGATATGATTTAAAATCTAATTTAAAATTTTACAATATATATATATATATATATATATATATATATATATATATATAATTTTATTTCATAAATCTAAAAATCAATTTAAATTTGAAGTCAAACTATACCACTAAATTGATAAATAAAAGGATATATAAAGGAATCCATACCATTTGCTCTACCAATGGGCATAACGGTACATGTTCGTCAAGTGTAGTTCGTTAAGGTCAATAATTCTTCTTCAATAGTCTTGTTAGTCAAGTTGGTGGGGTAAGAGCTACCTTTTTCCGAAGTAGACACTCGATGCTCCTTTGGAGTACAAGGTCTTGGCCGAGCTAAGAAAATATAAGTTGGATTACTTGAAGTCGAGGGTAAACTCATAGAGTGCATGACACGCCCTTCGAACATCTTTAAGAATTTCGACATCAGGGTCGAAAATCGAGGAAGTTTCTCCTTAGGGTTGTGATAAACTCAACTGAGTAGGACGTGTTATCTGCCTCGTCAATTCATCTGGAATAGGGACAGTGTTGAGTCTTGGAGAATTCAAATATCGACCATCGTCAAGATAGCTCGAGCTTCCCTCTTCATTTGTTGAATTACTCTTTCACACTTCATCGAGTCTACACATAGCAATTGACAAATCATCGTGAATATTGTAGACAAAAGCAACAAGATAAAGAAAGGTAATCATTGTGAAAAGTTGTCGAAAATGACCCTATTTTCCTCCTTGGTATTATCACCCATCAACTAACGAGTTTTTATGAGGCGCTTCAAAGAATATTGTTCTAGACTGGGCCTGCCCTTGGCCCAACTCCATGTGAGGCCCAATCCAATTATGTCGTTCAAAGCATGCTGGACAGTTCTTCCCTCGAATGAGTCGGGCAAAAACTACTCTCCGCAAGGAGACGACATCACCACACAATGATGAACCCAGTTACTCTTAGGAAGATGACCATCGGTCAGGAGGACCTCGAGGTCACGCTCCAATCCTCTCCTCGACCAATAATGGTCCTATCACGCGACCTCACGATCAGTGGGAGTATCCACGACGAGCAGAAGCACCTCACGAGCATCCTCCTCGTAGGCTGACTATCAACGCCTCCGAGTATCAAGGAGTCTTCGTGGCCCCGGAAAGATTGCTTCCATATCCTCCTGATCTTGCGGAGGAAGTCATCCAGGTAGAGGATCACATGTGGGTCCCCACTACTCACGTAGGACCTGGCAGTCTCCATATTGGGCCTGCTTAACCAGCCCAATGAGGAGACATTAGACCAGCGCTGGGAGCTATAAATACCCTCTCCTACGAGAGGGTCAGGTGTTGAACACTTCTTACTCACTTGCTTGCTTGCTCATTCCGGAACTCACTTTGTCATCGGAGTGTCCTGCAGGTACCCCCCCCCCCCCCCCCACCTCATTCTCAAATTCTGCTCAGAGCAAGCTGTGACGGTCCATTCTGGTCAGGTACGATCAGTGACACCATTTGTGGGAAACTTGCTTCCTGGTCTTCCATTCACACAATACAAAAGCTAATCACACTCAATTATGACTGTCATAGCTGATCAAACAGTAGAAAATAACATGAATGTCCGTCTCGTCGACACCAACAACAACGTCGCTGACACTAACACTGGCATCAACAATGCTGGTCCTACTGGTCACAACACTGGCCCCACTATTAATGTGCCTGGCCTATCAGAACACAGAGACAGATCAATCGCCTCATCGTCATTGTTATCCCGACGACTCGAAGACAACCGACCTCCTCCTTAGAACTACCAACTGAACCAGTTCCAGGAAGTCCCTGTCCCTGCCGGAGCAGATGCCACTACCAGGGCACTGTTCGTGGCGATAAACCAAACAAACTACCTGGTCTTTTCCCAATGGGAGAGATTAAGGACGCTCGAAGATTCTCGGAGAGCCCCCAGAAGACACAGGAGGCCTCACTCTCCTCCTCCTCGCCAGATAGAGGAACGTCCCCAATCTCCCCGAGGAGACGCAGGCGAGACGCCTCTCGAAGCCCCTCCCCTCGACCAATCGGGCGATGCCTCGCGTTGGAGAGAGACCAGCCCATAGATACAGGGAGACGCGATCATATCCCCTTGCGCCAAGAGCAGAGACCCCTAAAAACAGGAACAACGGAAATGATGAACGACCAGGGTCACCATCACAACCACCACTACAACCGATCTCCTTCTCGCTCGCCAGACAGAAGTGACGAGGATGACCCCTGCGGTCCCTTGTCATAAGCTATTATGGAGGCACCCATCCCCTCGGGTATGGAGAAACCTCCCCATTTGAAGGAGTACGACGGCATCGCCGACCCAGTCAACCATATCGACGGGTTCGAGGCGATGCTACATTACCATAACATCGGGGGGCCAATCAAATGCTGGTTATTCCCCACGACTTTGAGGAAAGCTGCAATGGATTGGTATAAGAGCCTCGCCCCGGGGTCAATCACCTCTTGGCGAAATTTAAAAACCAGTTCATCAGTTTGTTTACTGCTTCACATAGACATCCAAAGACTGAAGCAACCCTCGAGGCTATCGTCCAGAGACACAACGAGACCCTCAGGGAATTTATTGATTGGTTCAACTGCGAGGCCATACAGGTCCCCTACACCGGTCATATGAAGAGATACCTGCTCGAGAGAGGCCTCCTCCCAGGAACTGAGTTCAGAAAATTCGTTGGCATCGAACCACCGCGGACATTCGATGCTCTCCTCGAGAAGGATAGAACTTACATGGACTATGAGGAGAGGGAAGCGACCAACAGAGCCCGGGACCCCAGGAATCGCGGATCAACCAGCAATCTGCGGCAACAAGATTCCGACCCTCCTCGACGAACTAGCTAGAAGAGGAGGGATGACAAACCTCGAGATCCTCGCGAACAAAGAGGACCCTCGGGGCGATTTATCGAGTACACTCCACTGACAGCTTTCCGTGAGCGCATTTTGGTGGAGTGCGCTAACACTGATTTCAAGGACGGTGGCATCAAGCATCCTTGCTCTGCTCCTACCAAGCTCGGGGCTGATCAGAGCAAATACTGCCAATATCATCAAAGCCATGGACACCTGATGGAAGACTGTGTCCATCTCAAAGATGTTATTGAGACCCTCGTCAAAGGGGGAGACTCAGGCAATATCGGCGCGGTGACGCCCCTCGTCGAGATGCCCGTGACACGAAGGAGATTAAGGAGGATGCCCGAACATCAGATGATACGGTCCCCATCAAGACAACATTCTCCGTTACAAGACCGAATGACTTCTATGTCCCCGAAGATATCGAAGAGCCTCTGACCATGCACAGTAGGTGGGAAAGGTTCCCCTCCTCCATGGTTATAAATGGTGGGGGATTCAATGATATAACCATAAACTCTGAAAAGAGGGAGTTAGACGAGCTGGTCTACCCCCCTCCCCCTCGCAAACGGTGACTTTCAAGAGGGTTAAGGGCATATCGAAGCTGATTACCTTCTACCTCGAAAAATTGCCCGGAGGGGCCCCAAACTCAGTCATCCCTCTTCTGGTTAGGGCGATAATGGCTAACTTTGACGTTCATCATGTTTTGGTCGACGAAGGGAGTTCTGTCTATGTGATGTACAACCAACTCTTCTGAACCCTACAGCTCGACGACACCCACCTCTCACCTTATGTGGGGTCTGACCTACGGGGCTTCAACGGCTCGACCTCCAAGCCTTGGGGGTACGTAGAGCTCATGATCACCTTCGGCGAGGATACCTCCACCAGGTAAGTCAAAGTGCGCTTTTTGGTCATTGACTGCCCGTCTCTCTATAACTGTATCCTTGGGAGACCGACACTGGTAGAGTTGACCGCAGTTCCCTCCACCGTCCATCTGAAGATGAAGTTCTACACAAGGAGGGGGTGAATTGTGTGCTTTGGAAAAACATGGTTTAGAAATCTTTTTCGAAGATTTAAAAATAGAGTTTGAAAATCTTTTCCAAAACCTAAGATCAATCACAGTTTCAAAAACTTTAGTATAACTTAGCAGTGGAAAAATAATTTTGAACTAAAAATGCAGAAAGTAAAAAGTTAAAGGATAAGAAGAACATCATGATATATAGAGGTTCGATCAAAACTGGAAGACCTACTCCTATCCCCAAGAAGTGGTCTTGAGAGTTTCCATTAAGTACTTGAGAGCTTTTAGTAGGTGAAGCTCACGAACCCCCTTATACAAGGAAATGTTTGTTGCCCTACAACCATGATAAATACAAGATTAAATATATAAATGTTCGCGTCTTCTCCATTGTTGAGATCGAAGTGGCCAAGCTCTTTTCCTAACTGTAGATCGAAGTACCATCACTTCTCTCTACCAAAAAAATATAAAAGCTCAATATGGTTTAATAGGTTAACCATTAACCTCTTTTGATTTTAATAGGACGATCAAAGTAACTTATGGTTTTTATAATTGGCTAACCATGAACCTATCAGTAAGATTATTATTAATATTGATGATCTTCAACCTTTAAATTAAAAAGGATTTATAATAGCCTTAAGGGAAGCTCATCAACATTAATCTTCTTCAACCTCAAGAACATGGGACTTATCACTCAAATCCCCAACCAAAGCTTTTATCAGATTTAGCTTTGTACCACATGAATTTTTTCCTAAACATTGATAATGTTCATCTAGGTTAATCAAGAACAACCTTGAAGAACTTCATACATAGCTACCCATCCAGAATTACAACATCTTCTCACTCACAAAAAAATTATTTCCTCACAAAAGCATTT